TTTGGTCGTGTTTAACATCAAAAAGTTTAAGGTCATCCACGTTTTTAAGTCCTTAAGGCAGTCTTGAATTTTATTTAGATGATTAATTTCATCAGGCTTGATTGATAAATATAGTTGAGTATCATCCGCATAACAATGAAAGTTTACAGAATGATTCCTTATAATATTGCCTAACGGAAGCATATATAATGTGAACAAAATAGGTCCGAGCACTGAGCCCTGTGGCACTCCATGGCTAACTTTGGTTTGCGTGGAAGATTCATCATTGACACGTACAAACTGAGAGTGTTCAGATAGATAGGACCTAAACCAGTCTAAAGCAGTTCCCTGTATGCCAACTAAGTGCTCTAGTCTTTGCAATAAGATATCATGGTCGATAGTATCAAATGCAGCACTGAGATCGAGCAAAAACAAGAATAGAGACACGTCCCTTGTCAGAGGCTATTAGAATGTCATTTGTGACTTTAACCAGAGCTGTCTCTGTGCTATGATGTGTTCTAAAGCCAGACTGAAAAGCTTCAAATAAATCATTGTTTTTTAAGTAATCACACAACTGTTTTGCGACCGCTTTCTCAAGAATTTTTGAGAGGAACGGAAGATTGGAAATAGGTCTATAATTGGCTAAAACCTCTGGATCGAGGTTGTGCTTTTTAAGAAGCGGTTTTATCACTGCTACTTTGAATGATTGTGGAACATAGCCTGATAATAAAGACATATTCATAATATTTAATAAATAAGTGCTAATTAATGGAAAAACTTCCTTCAACAGCTTAGTTGGAATTGGGTCTAACATACACGTTGATGGTTTAGAAGAGAGAATCATTGAATTTAATTGTTCAAGGTTTATGGCTGAAAAGCATTCTAGTTTACTATCTAGTGTAATATTAGAACTTACGTTTCCGGGAGCTGTTGATAACACTATACTGGTCAAAGGCAAGAGGTCATTAATTTTGTTTCTAAGAGTAACAATTTTATCATTAAAAAAGCACATCAAATCATTACTACTGAGTGCTATGGGAATAGAAGGCTCAATCGAGCTGTGGCTCTCTGTCAGCCTGGCTACAGTGCTGAAAAGAAATCTTGCATTATTCTTATTCTCATCTATTAATGAAGAGTAGTAGGCTGCTCTCGCTTTACGCAGTGCTTTCTTATATTCATTGAGAGTAATATGCCAAATTAAACGAGATTCTTCAAGTTTAGTGGAACGCCATATCCTTTCAAGTTGTCTCGACTTTTGCTTTATTTTGCGGGTTTCGGCATTATGCCATGGAGCTAGTCTATGTTGTTTTATTTTCTTCTTTTTCAAAGGAGCAACAGAGTCTAATTTTATTCGCAGCGCATCTGTAGCACTATCAACAACATGATCAATTTGGGGTGGTGTACATTTTGTATAAGTTTCCTCCCTTACATGCAGACATGCTATCGAGTTAAGTATTGGTGGAATCTCTTCCTTAAATTTGGCTATAGCACTAACAGATAGGTTTCTGCTGCAGGAGCTTTTGACTAATGCTTTGTAGTCTAGTAACAGTACTTCAAAAGTTACTAAGAAATGGTCGGATAAAGCAGGATTATGCGGTTTGACTAATAGTTGCTCAATTTCTATACCATAAGTCAGAACAAGGTCGAGAGTGTGATTATAGCAGTGGGTTGGTTTATTTACACTCTGACAGAAACCAACAGAATCTAATATAGAGTTAAATGCAACAGTAAGGCTATTTTTATCATCGTCAACATGAATATTAAAGTCACCTACGATAATTACTTTATCTGTTTTAAGAACCAAAGTTGATAAAAACTCAGAGAATTCAGATAAGAATTCTGAATAAGGACCTGGTGCACGGTACACTGTAACAAATAAGATTGGCTGCAAAGTTTTCCAGGTCGGACGCGTAAGACTAAAAACGAGACTTTCAAAGGAGGTATAATTTAATTTTGGTTTAGTATTGATAAGTAAACTTGAGTCAAAGATTGCTGCAACTCCACCTCCTCGGCCCGTGCCTCGGTCAATATGAGTATTGATATGGCTGGGTGGAGTGGCCTCATTTATGCTGACATATTCTTCATGTCTCAACCAAGTTTCAGTGAGACAGCATATATCAATATTATAATCTGATATTAAATCATTTACCAATATTGCTTTAGATGCTAGAGATCTTATGTTTAACAGACCACATTTAATCTTCCTGTTTTGTTGCACTGTAGTAGTTGTTACATTTACTTTTATTAGGTTATTATGTATGACACCTCTATTAAATGAAGTAGCTTAAAACTAAAGCTTTACATTAAAGTAATTGAGTAAAAAGTGTAATACTTTCCACCAAAATGTGGCTGAATAAATGTATAAAGTAGCATAAAGTGAAAACACTGCAAGTACTTCCAATTTGTACTTAAGTACAATACTTAAGAGAATGTACTGTAACTTAAGCGCTTTGAGCACCAGGAAAAGTGCTATATAAATGTAATGTATTATTAAGAGTTACTTTCCTAATCCATGGGTTGGGTGAGTCATGTATTGCATTTATCTAATGGTTAATTGTTCCCGTCCATCTTAGTTATGCTGTATTCTCACAGTTATCATCTCTGCTTAAATCATTGTGTAGTAGGGGTGTAACGGTTCACAGAAGTCACGGTTCGGTTCATACCTCGGTTTGGGGGTCACGGTTCGGTACAACAAGGAAAAGCAAAAACAAGTTCCAAATGCATAATTTTTTTTGCTGTTATTTATTTTTAACAGTAGTGCAAGTTTTGGTCTGAAAATAAGGAACATTAACATTTGGAATCATTAACTGTATTACACAGTTAAAAACAAACCACAACCAGTAACACACACACTCAGATGGCCATATTATTTATAATGGCTGATGTCAAACTAAAAGGTTAAATAAGCTGTACAACTAAAAAGAATGTCTTGAAAATATTAAAATAAATAATAAGAAAGTGTTTGAATCACAATCAATAAAAGGCAATACAGAACTGTATAACATCTCCTGATGTCAAAATATAAAATAAATACAATGATAAATATAAAACAAAATAAAATCTGTACCTTTAGGAGCAATGTCTAACATGTGTAATTAACTTGTGAGAGTGTGAGGCCATTATGCCTAAATAAAGGTGCTCAAGCTTTACTCTATTTTCAAGTTGTTCTTCAGAAAGATGAGTTTGTCTACGTTGTCAGTAGTGAGGGCAGATCTGTTGGCGGTAACTATGTCACCTGCCGTCGAGAAAACCCTCTCGCTGGGGACTGAGACTGACTCGGATGTGATTGAGCATGTTTGACGTGTTACCACTAGCATACCGCACCGCTGTCGAACAACGCCGACAAACCGTCCTCGTCCGATCCACAACTCACACCCCATCATTGTTGTAGTCCACAGGGAACCCGAAATGTTCCCACACACCTGATTTAAAAGAAGCAGGTGGGTTCTAGCTCCTGTGTGTTGTGTGAACTCGCCATAGCTACTAACTTTTCTTCTTCATGTATTGTGTTCGTTTTGTTGTGTTTTGTTCTTGTTCTTCATTTGTTATTTATGGGCGGCTGGCTTTTAGGCGCAATACCGCCCCCTGGATTATATATAGTGTAATACTTCCCCGAGTGACAGACTTTTTTCCCACTCGTAAAAAAAGGCGTATTCACCGTGTGACTGCATGTGCCGAACCGTGACGTCCGAACCGTGACGGTACGGGACCAATACGGATACCGTTACACCCCTATTGTGTAGTAAATGTGAGTGTCACTGATGCTGGAGATGAAGTAACAGTAGGTCTAAAAATCTATGAAAAAGGGTCTTGAAGAAATAAAATTGTAGAAAATGTAACACCAGGACTCCTGCATTTACTAGTGGTGGTAAACCTACTGCAATGATGAAATTATAAACCATCCATAAAGAAAATGTAACAGTTTAAAGAGTTTTTCTTCCGATTTGTTCCCATTGTGAAATGTTTGCAGCAAAGGAGTTCACATTCCCCAGCCACAGTCATGCGGCCAATTATGGACTGTGCTTATCACAAACCCCAGTCTTTTGCTGACTTGTTAATGCGTTTTGCTCGGGAGTTTTTCGGACTGCGCAGCTTCTTTTTGCAGGAGATAGATTTCACCTCTGGTGTGTGAGCCTGCTGAGTCGCGTTTAAAATAAATCCAGTTCAAACCAGAACTTAGAGAGGTTAGTTTAAATATAGCCCTCAAAAACAGACAAAAATCCCCTTCTTAGAGTTAGCAACAAAAGGTATTTTATTTGTTATCCAAGCTACATGCGCATTTAGTTTCACTAGTAGTTATTTTTCATTCTCCAGAGGTTATGAAGCTGGTTACTAACCCAGCTGACTTCAGATCTGTCATTCTCCAAAGGTTCTGCTGGCAGATTTCAGCCTTACTTTACCCACAGCCTTTCTGCTTTCTGATTCCTATTAGCACAGTTTGTCATGAATATTCAGAGCTTGCTTTTCTTTGTTTTATGAATTACCTTTCTGTGTAATTTTACCACCAGCCTGTGCTTTTCCAAGTTCAAAATGTAGTTTGGATTTAAATTACAAAGTGACAGCCACCACCTGTCTGTTGGTGTCAGAGATCAACCACTCTATTTAAAAGCATACACTGTCAGAGTCAGTGTAATGTGAGCCTCCACAGTATTCCACACCTAGTCAATTCTCTCCCAAGCATACATGAAGAGGTCATGTGACAGGAACCTCTGATCACCCCCTAAACCAAACTTGACTAGTCAATAAAAACATGTCCTCTTGTTTCTGCATAATGCTGTGGTGCTAGGCCAAGAATTATCACTCCAATAAACCCAATTATTTAAAACATTTTCAAGCTAATTCACCAGAACTGCTGCTACCTGTTAGTTACTGTTGGTTCCCTGCAGGTTTGAGTTTAGATTACACATACATCCCTTTTTAAAGGAATCCTACAATCTGATAGTTAATATGAAACCAACTTTTGTGCCTGTTTTAAGTTGCATTCATGATTAGGGTTGCATGAATTCTGATTGTGTTTCCAGATACTGACAGCAGATCTCTGCTCTGCTCGTCTGTAGCATGAGCTCTGAGCCATGGACCGGATCACCTTCCACCATGACACCGTGCTGTCAGACGTGCACATGCTGCGGCCCAACGCTCGCCACCTCATGACCCGCCTCAACTCTGTGGGCCAGCCCGGTGCGTATCACCTACTCTTTGGGTCTGCAGCCTGTTCTCTGTGTCATGTCATGTGTGGACAAATGAAATGGTGTGAAAGAAAGGGTGAACGTGTTATTTAGAGACATGTTTCAGTCAGGCATCAAATCAACATTTTTTATACTAAAGCCCATTCCCCATGTCATTTTCATCTATATTATATCCATCATTTAAAATGATCGTTTGTCATAACACCAACAGTTTTGATGATGACTATTTACTGATTACTTCATGTAAATAAAGTTGGTTGTTACAGTTCTTTTTAATAAGGTCACCTATTATGCAAAATCCACTTCTTCATGTCTCTTTTACATCAACATGTGTCCCCTCTTCTTCATGTCTCTTCTACATCAACATGTGTCCCCTCTTCTTCATGTCTCTTCTTCATCAACATGTGTCTCCTCTTCTTCATGTCTCTTCTTCATCAACATGTGTCTCCTCTTCTTCATGTCTCTTCTTCATCAACATGTGTCCCCTCTTCTTCATGTCTCTTCTACATCAACATGTGTCCCCTCTTCTTCATGTCTCTTCTACATCAACATGTGTCCCCTCTTCTTCATGTCTCTTCTTCATCAACATGTGTCCCCTCTTCTTCATGTCTCTTCTACATAAACATGTGTCCCCTCTTCTTCATGTCTCTTCTACATCAACATGTGTCCCCTCTTCTTCATCTCTCTTCTACATCAACATGTGTCCCCTCTTCTTCATGTCTCTTCTTCATCAACATGTGTCCCCTCTTCTTCATGTCTCTTCTACATCAACATGTGTCCCCTCTTCTTCATGTCTCTTCTTCATCAACATGTGTCCCCTCTTCTTCATGTCTCTTCTTCATCAACATGTGTCCTTACAACATGTGTCCCCTCTTCTTCATGTCTCTTCTACATCAACATGTGTCCCCTCTGTATAAAGAGACTCTGAACGTTTCAGGAACAAAGATTCTCTCTCTTTTTGTCCTGATCCATTTCTATAAAAACCTGTCTGAAAATGAGCTGATCAGATTCTGGCCACGGTGTGATGTCATAACGATGTTTTGTCTTGTGTAACCATCAGCCAATCAGCAACCAAGGTAACCCCCCCCCCCCCTTATCACCTGCATCTCCTCCTAGAGCACCATTGTGTTCTTTTTAACCAAATTTCTCCCAGAGGGGCGTGGGGAGGGGCTCCTTATTTTCATCTAAAGCAGGGGTGTCCAAACCAGAGTCCTGCACGGGTCTGATTTTCAAGACCTGCTCCCGCCCGCACCCGCGACGTGCAATACCGAACCCGCCTCGCTACCCGCACATATTGCCAATTAGTTCCGCAACCCGACCCGACTGCACAAGATCCGCAACCTGACCCGAACCCGTATGCCTATATATGAGCAGTGAAAACGTGCAATTATTAACACATGCAGTTGCATATTTGTCTCAAAAAGCGTGGGATGTTGGTTATTTTCTCCATCTAGGATGACACCAAAAGCCTCCCAGACGTTGGATTTCGCTCTTGAGGAAGTGTTGAATGTTGAATGTGGCGCGCACAGCAGCAGATTGATGCGCTGCAGAGGTTATGATTATGCGCGGTCCCGCGGGGGAGAGGTCTGAGGATTTTAAACATTAAACAAAATTATTATTATTTTAATATATTTATTATGCAATACCCGCGACCCGACCCGCATCATCTTTGTTTTACCCAGAACTGAACCCGGAAAAAAGCGTTTGAAAAAATACCACCCGCGGGTACCCGACCCGATGCAGGACTCTGGTCCAAACTACGGCCCGGGGGCCATTTTGAATCAGCCCTCAGCAAATTCAAAAAGTATAATGGAACATGGCCCACACCTGAAACTTGTGCTTGTCTTATATTATACTTCTTAAATATATATTTAATACATATATGACACGGTATAATTCACATGTTAATAAGCCCACTTTTTAAATAAATTCTGTCAATTAAAGTTGGAAACATTTTCTAACAAATGTAAGTTGATAAGAAAAGAGCCTTATTTACATAACAAGCTTGAAATACACCCTTCCCCATGCCCTATAACTAAAAGAGTTGCGACAGCGGAATACCAAAATGCTTGATCGTCACATGGTTCATGGAGACTCAGATAGTTCCCGGAAGTTCGTGGCTGGCCATTTGAATGCATTAATAACAGGAGATAGAACTGCGATTTTTGGTAATTAGTAGTCAATAAAGGTTTTAAAGTTAAATTCGCTAATATTGGAGGATTAAGATAAGAAGTACTTTATTGATACCAATTTGGGAAATGTTTGCATTGTAGCAGCAAAAGACAAGGCATTGTACATAAGAGAAGTTAAAAGACTAGAAATAAACGATCCAAAATGTAAACATCTCAAATAGAAATAAAATAGCATTTTAAAAAAAAAAAAAAAAAAAAAGTAGAAAATATACATAGTGTGAACAGCTATCTTACATGTTAACATATACATGTTAGGCTAACGTTGCTTTGGTTAAAAAGCGTGTTGCTGTTTATTACTTTGAATTCTTTAAAACAAATATTATCTTCTTAAACCTGTATGGTAGTCAGGAGCATCACATCCTAATGTTTATTGATATATTTAGAGGGAGAGGATGGGAAGGAAGGTTTCACAATTCAGATTAGATTAATTTCTACCATTTATTTCATCCATGGTGGTTTCAGTAATCCCCTGGTAATTGAGGACATATGTAATCTAAATGACTAATGTAATCTTTAGGACTTTCAGAAAGGACAGGAGACCGACAGGTGCCTATCAAAGGACTAGTAGTAGTAGCAGCAGCAGCATGATGATGTTAAATGTGTTGTTTTAGGAACATCCATTGTAAATAAATGGAATTCAATACACATTGCAAGTCAGCAGGAGCAATTTAACTATCACAAAAGACAACAACAGCAACAAAATATGTGAGGTAATCATATTTTTCACAAAACGAAGACCACACCATAGGGAAGCTTAAAGTCTGTTTAATCAAACATAAGGGAGAGGCTTGCAAAGCTCTGGGAGTTGAGACTCAGGTGCAGGGTGAGGGTCTTCTTGCAGGTCTTCAGGCTCCATTGAATCCCCCTGGGGTTCTTGTGCTGAAAGAGGGAGACAGGAGAAAGGGTTAGATACATCTAGCAACCTATAGGATGGGAAATTGCTGACCTATTTGAAACTTACCTTGTGTTTTCACTCTCACTTAAGTCCCTCTCCCTTTGCCATCAATCCAAAATCAGCTGAGCTGCAACATAATACAGACAGGTAATAATCAACAGAATCACAAGGACATTATATAACTCTGCTAAAAACACTCACCCATAAGTTATGTTTTTGTTTACTGTTTAGAAGTCTCAAATATGCACTCTAAATCCATATCAATAGCGATGTATCACAAAAATAGCTCTCTTCCTTATTATTGTATATAGTCTATATATAACTATATTATACTAGCTTGAACTCCAAAATGGATATCTTCATTTCACCACCTCCACCCACTACAATCGCACGCCCCAATGTTATATTTAACTCATATTTAACTCCCTCCACCCCGGATAAAATCACGTTTAGAAGCCCCTTTTCTCTAATTCCACAACGTTGGACAAAATGACATTAAGAGAATGGAATTTACAATTAAAAGGCGGATTACATTCCATTACATTTAATTTAGCTGAGGCTTTTATCCAAAGAGACTTACAATAAGTGCGTTCGACCAAGAAGATACAAACTTGAAGAAAACAGAATCAGGTTTCATAGAGCTATAATATTTCAAGTGCTACTCAACTGGCTTTAGATAAGCCAGTCCTTTGTTAGTATATAAGTGCTTTGTTAGTATGTAAGTTCTTAGTTAGTATATAAGTGCTTTTTATTTTTATATTTTTTGTTTTTCATTTTATTGCTCGAAGTAAAGTCGAAAGAGATGAGTTTTCAGTCTGCGCCGGAAGATGTGTAAGCTATCTGCTGTCCTGATGTCAATGACGAGCTCATTCCACCATTTCGGAGCCAGGATAGCAAACCCACGTGTTTTTGCTGATGGGAACTTGGGTCCCCCTCGCAGCGAGGGTGCAGCGAGCTGTTTGGCTGATGCAGAGCGGAGTGCACGTGCTGGGGTATACAGTTTAGCTATGTCCTCCTCCATCGTCTGCACTCCACCATCAGACTCTCTGACTCTCCCCTTGACTGGTTTAGATCATACCTCACCGGGAGAACAGAGTACGTCTCCTTGGGCGAGGCAGAGTCTGGTACCCACAACGTCACCTGTGGTGTCCCTCAAGGATCAGTTCTCGGCCCCACCCTCTTCACACTCTACATGCTCCCCCTTGGCTCTATCATCAGCCGACATGGAGTATCATTCCATTGCTACGCTGATGACACATTACATTACATTACATTGCATTTAGCTGAGGCTTTTATCCAAAGCGACTTACAATAAGCACACCCAACTGTACCTCAGGATCAACCCTACCTTCTCTGCAGCCCTGCCTTCACCCACACTCACTGCCTGCCTGGAGGAGATACAGGCGTGGATGAAGCAAAACTTCCTGAAACTCAACAGCTCCAAGACCAAAGCCATTATAGTTGGCACCCCACACCAGGTTCGGTCATCCACCATCACCACCATCACCTTCTCCGGCCAGGACATTACCCTCTCCTCAATAGTCACCAACCTGGGTGTTAAAATGGACGCCCTTTGACGGATCTTTGAGGCCCACATTAAACAGCTGTGCAAGAACTCCTTTTATCACCTCAGGAACATCGCCAAACTCCGCCCCACACTCACTCTGTCTGACGCCGAAAAGCTGGTCCATGCCTTTGTCTCCTCCCGGCTGGACTACTGCAATGCACTCCTCATCGGGATCCCTAACGAAAGCATCCAGAAGCTCCAGTACATTCAGAACAGCGCTGCTAGGATCCTGATGAGGGTGCACAAATATGATCACATCACCCCCATCCTTAAAGCACTACATTGGCTACCCGTGGAACTGAGGATCGAATTCAAGGTCTCCGTCCTCACCCACCAGTGTGTCCATGGAACTGCCCCTCCCTACCTCAAGGAACTCCTCACCCCCCATACCTCCTTGCGGACCACCCGCTCCAGCAACTCCAACTTCCTCAAACCCCCCAGGACTAAGCTCCGTAATATGGGAGACCGGGCCTTCTGCTCGGCTGCTCCCAGTCTGTGGAATGCTCTCCCCGACCAAATGAGAGCACCACAGACCGTGGAGGCTTTTAAAAAAGGCCTCAAAACCCATCTCTTCAAAAGAGCCTTTGCCTAGACCTTTTTATCACCCTTTTATTTATTTTTTATTTTTGTATTGCTTTTTATTAATTCTACCGTGTTGTGTAATGTTTATTTATACTGTTCATGCTCACTACATGTAGCACTTCGGGATTTGAAATCAAATATGAAGTGCTTTATAAATGGAACCCATTATTATTATTATTATTATTATTATTATTATTATTATTATTATTATTATTATTATTATTACCAGTGTCTTGAAGTGGATTCTAGCAGTTACTGGAAGCCAGTGAAGGGAGCGGACGAGTCGCTGCATTCTGGAGGTCGGATGGCACATGCAGGTAGACCAGCCAGGAGGGAGTTGCAGTAGTCGAGGCGTGAGATGACGAGAGCCTGGGCCAGAACCTGCGTCGCTTTCTGGGTCAGGAGGGGACGTATCCTCCTGATGTTGTAAAGTGTGTATCTGCAGCAGCGGGTTTTAGCAGCGATATTTGCAGTGAAGGACAGTTTGTTATCTAGGATCACCCCCAGATTCCTTGCCGTCTGAGTCGGGGAAACAACAGAGGGGCCGATGTAGATTGTCAGGTCAAGAGTGGGACAATCTTTTCCCGGAAGAAAAAGCAGTTCAGTCTTGTCAAGGTTGAGCTTGAGGTGGTGAGCAGACATCCACTGAGAGATGTCAGCTAGACAAGCAGAGATGCGTGCGACGACCTGGGTCTCTGAGCGGGGAAAGGACATAATTAATTGAGTGTCGTCAGCGTAGCAATGGTATGAAAAACCATGCGGGCTAATGACAGATCCGAGCGAGTTTGTGTACAGAGAGGAGGGGACCAAGGACAGAGGGACCCCTGTAGTTAATTGACAAGGGTGGGACTCTGACCCTCTCCAAGTTACCCTGTAGGTACGGTCTTTGAGGTATGAGGTGAGGAGGGAAAGTGCAGAGCCTGAAACTCCAAGTTTTTGGAGAGTGCGAAGGAGGATCTGATGGTTCACCGTGTCAAATGCAGCAGACAGGTCCAAAAGGATGATGACAGAGGAGAGGGATGCAGTTTTGGCAGTGTGCAGTTCCTCCGTGACAGCAATGAGAGCAGTTTCTGTGGAGTGACCTGCCTTGAAACCAGACTGGTGCGGATCCAGAAGGTTGTTCTGATTGAGATAATGATAATAGATGATCTAATTCCTCCAAGAAGTCCCCCAAGGCACCTGGTGGACGGTAGAGAACAACAATGGTTAATTGTATGGATGGGTTAATGTGATGGCATTCAAAGGTGGAAGGAGGGAAGTTAGGTAGCTTGAAGAGGGAAAAGCTCCATTTGGGAGAGAGCAGGAGACCAGTGCCACCTCCTCTGCCAGTGGGTCTGGGTGTATGGGAGAAGGAATATGCTGTGGAGAAAGCTGCTGGGGTGGATGTGTTGGATGGAGTAATCCAGGTCTCAGTAAGAGCAAGGAAATCCAGAGACTGCAGGGAAGCGTAGCCAGAGATGAAGTCAGCTTTAGGAACAGCTGTCTGGCAGTTCCACAGGCCGCCTGTAACTAGATGTTGGATCTCAGTGGAGCATGTGGGATAGACGAGAGCAGGCCGGTTATAACGATTACGAGATGCACGGGGCCAGTAACAATTATCATGGTTAACGTGTGTTGCTAACTTTATCCGGTATCCTAGCCTAATCTGTTATCATTCCCTTAATCTACTCATTTAGAGGGGGATAATCCACTAACATGCTTTAATTCACATGTTAATTTGATTCAGATGTGCTGATAATATCCGCAATATAAGTCTTTAAACGTCTTACCTTTCAAAGTCCATCACAAACGGTCTATTCTACTGCAACTCTACTGCACTACTAGTCTTTGCCGCTAACGTCCGGGAACTATTGAGAGGCTCCACGATCCGCCATTGCTGTAAAAAAATTGTCCATTGGAGTGAACAGAGATGACGCAACTTTCTCTTTTATAGGGTTTTGACCCTTCCTATTTCCCCTTTTTATAAGCAATCTGAGGCTTCTGCTTTGAGGGATGAGATGCAACACTGTTTGTAACAGAATAAATGAAATGCTATGGAGAGCTTTGATGTTTCTTTCTTGAGGCATTTTCAAGTATCAAGCGTTTAATTTTTCTGACAGAGAATCAGCACTTTTGAAACAGGGCTGAAACAGAGGGATGCTGCAATGATCAGTTTGGTGTTTCAGCCAAACACTTCAGAGACATGTTTTGTATATATCTGAGACCTATAATCTATTAATGAAAAACAGTATAATAGGGGACCTTTTAAAGAAAAAAGGGGAAATCCTCCAGGGCTGAGGGCTTTCTGATCTTCTCTGTTCCATCTCATTTATAATGAATATCTTTGGCTTTCAGTGTTTAAGCAAAACCATCTAGGGATGGGATCATTTAAAGACTATCAACTTTATTGAATGCTTCTTAATTTTCATGTAGCAATCCAACTCACTTTTGACAGATACCAAATGTCAAAGTACTCAGAATACAAAATAACTCAATCGGGACATCCCTAACAGAATATTATGAGAAAATGTTTTACTGCATGAGATTCCACCCCTTCTGTATGTATATACCAAATGGTTAAAGGATGGTGAAATGGCTTTCTTATATTACCTCAAGGTCATTGCAATGCATTTTTTAAATATTTTATCTGACGTTGAGGAACTGTGTAAAATACAATATCTAAATAAACTTAACACAAAAAGTAAGGACATTTGTGTTGGGTAGATTATTTCTTTGTTGTAACAATGCTTCTTGGCAATACATCGTATACTGTTGGGAAGCATGTTTTCTTACCTTTCAAATGGTACCACATTTGTGAGGAACATGCATTTGTGGGATGAGCAGCAGAGCTGAGTATGTCGGTTGCGCCCATGTAAAATGTGACAAATCTCCTCTGCCAATGCCAAACAGCAGCCACTCTCCAGTCTCGTACGGCTGCTAGGAGACCTGCCATGACTGGAACCTCAACATGTGGAGGAACATTATGTTCAGCCATGAGTCCAGATTCTGCCTACGGCACTTGGATCGTAGGGTCACAGTGTGGCGAACACGTGGAGAACCTTTGCTGATTGCTGCACTGATAGAGTACCATTTTTTGGTGGAGGCAGTGTGATGGTGTGGGGGCAATCTCAATGCAGAGAGATATCGAGATAACATTCTGCAACCAGTGGCATCCCCGAATCTCAACAGTCTGGAATCAAACTCCTCCTCCAAGATGACAACGCTCGCCCCCACAGAGCGAGGATTATCAGACACTTCTTCATGCAGGAGGAGAAGAGGCTGTTGTGTCTGTGTATGGTTCTTCCACACGCTACTGAGGCTGCTTATACATTGTTCATAAATAAATTATTGCCAATATGTCTTGATTCATCAGACTTCAATCATCCAAACCACCAAACAACACCAAACAAGAGTCAACAGTGAAAAAAAAAGCCGTTTGGAGTTTTGCCACATCTTTCATGGGTGCAACCCACATAGTCAGCTCTGCTGCTCATCCCACAAATGCATGTTCCTTACAAATGTGGCACCATTTCAAAGGTAAATAAACAGGCTTTCCAACGGTATAAGATTGTTTTGCCAAGAAGCATTGATGCAACAAAGAAATAATCTACCAAACACAGATTTCCTTTATTTTGTGTGTGTGTGTGTCAGTATTTTCACTCATTTTTAACTTTGTTTTGTTCATTCATCCAGTCTTCATTTCTAAATTCAAGATCCTATCAGTTGGTGAAAGACCTGACGACAATGACCCAGAGAAAGGTGTACCGGAGGCAGGGGTGGGCCACGAACCAAAGAAAGAGGACGAAAAAGTCTCACAAAGTCAAGATGGAGAGGATGGGGGGGAAGTCGGTGGGGAACCATTCCTGGATGAGGACGGAGACTTCCACATCACACACCGGTGTGTAAACACCTGCTGCTGTGTGTGTGTGGGGGGGGGGGGGGGGGGGGGGCTGTGTAAAACATCAGAACCAGGTGTTCCCTGCTTTACACATCAACTCTGTGACATTAGTTTGGTACCAAACATTTTGCTGTTTCTGCTTTTTGTAATTCAGCCATGCACCGTGTTGTGCGCCGCGCAGAAACACACCTGGGGGTTCCTGATGGGGAGAAGTGTGTGTTTGAAGGGTGGGCAGTAGTGATTTAATAAATGATGAGATATGCTGCTTTACCATGGGCTGAAATCTAGAATATCTTAGAGAGGGAGTCATGTGGTCTAGCCCTCTTCAGAGTACAGAACCAAACTTTTGTTTTGTTTTATTCTTAGAAATGTGTCTGGGTTGGACTTCAAACTTTGGCATATTTTCACAGAAATTATACTTAGTAAACACGTTTGGCTGATATATTTGTATTCCACTCACTTTTTATTCCATTCACCCAATCACATTCATTCATACTTTTCCTCGGACCCCCAGGCCGAGAACAAACCTTCCGGAGAGAAACAGTCGAGACCTGGTGTGTCCCATCATCCTGCAGCAGGCTGACCCTGAGCTGGAGCCAGAAGAGGAGCACTCAGAGGATGAAGACGATCAGGCCTTCGACAACATTATAAAGATTGGTGAGATCCTCTGTGTTATTCTAAAGTGCAGGCATGGGGAAGTTAATCCTTTGGTATGGCATGAGCCTCTCCAACATCAAATAGCCATGAACGTGCTCATTGTGAATTTGGTCAAATGTAATTAAATGCATGAACAATTAAATGAAAACATGAGGATGGTGGTTTCTTTAGAAATTGTGACATTTGATCTTCTTTTAAACCCAAGATGAAACCAACAAAATGTTGCTATATTATTATCTATGTAACAAAAAATGAACAGGAGTGCCAACTCAGGAAAAAGCCTTTTTCCTCGTCGCTCCTCTCTGGGAACTATTTAAAAGATAGGCTTGTGCTGCGTGTACTACGATGGTCCACCTTAACAACTGCACAGGTTTAATGTGTAGTGAGAGACATGGATTCTGTGTAAGCTTGGCCTCATTGACAGAAATGATAATTTTAGTAGTTTTAAACTGGCTCTTAAAGTGCTCCTATTATGCTATTTTTAGACATATACTATGGGTCTCAGATATATACAAATATATAAAAAACATGAGGATGATGATGAAGTCTTAATGCTCCTAGCACTAGATGCGGATGACTTGCTACTTGTTGCCATTGTGACCACTTCGGAAACATCCAATGCTGCTTTTTCACTGTAGTGTTCTCATGCAGTGTGTTGAAACTCTGATGCAAACATTGAGTTAAACCGCAGCCAATGAAGACAGTCATAGTAAAGTTTGACTGTTTACTGTCACAATTCTTCATAGACATGGCGGTAAAAACTGTAAATAAACACAATACAAACTTAAATAGCTTTCCTGCATTCTTTACAGTGTTTATGACAGTTGTAAATAAATCGTTTTATTATACAAACTAATCAAACATATTTTTAACAATATCATTCCTAACTACATAATGCAATTCCTGAAGAAATTGCTAGTGGGAATGCTTTATGCTGAAAAGCTGATGCTAAATTGCTATGCTGAAATATAATGTGTAAGAAGAAAGTGAAGAATTTAGATTGAAATGAAATGTGTAAGAAGAAAGTGAAGAATTTAGATTGAAATGATACATGAACACTGGGGGCTTGAATGTGTGATGAGAGAAGAAAAGAAAGTAAAAAGGCTTGGAAAAGCAGCAGAATATTTGAACTGCAAACTTTTGAACTAACTTGATGGTGAATGATCTGTCGCCATGCCAACGGCATTTGATGACATCCCATAATATGCTTAGATGCGTTGATGGCTGCATCATTACCAAACCTGTGAAGTTTTGGGCCATTTGGAGCATTTTCACTGAAGTTATAAGAAAACCGTGTTTTATGGCGAGGATTGTGTTGCCATGTCAACGGCATTTGAAGAAATCTCAAAACTGTTGCGTAGATGTCTTCACGGCTGGACTTAGCACACATGTGCTTGAGCACTTTTTGAACATTTTCATAGGAGTTATAGCGACATCGTCTTTTATGGCGAGGGATATGCGTCCCTCGCCATAAAAGACGATGTCGCTCCATGGAAACGGCATATGACGAAACCCCATAATTGACGTAGAGCTGTTGAGGGCTGGACCGTTAACCATTATCTGAAGTGTGGTGCTGTTTTGACCCTTTTCATAGGCGTTACGACAACATCGTGTTTTATGGCGAGGGATGAATTTCCATGGAAACAGCATATGGTGAGATGTCAGATTTGACGTAGAGCTGTTGAGGCATGGACCAGTGATATACAAGCGAAGTTTGGGAGACGACCGGACCGTGTGCATTGGAGCTACAGCGACATCGTGTTTTATGGCGAGGGATGTGTTTCCATGGCAACAGCCTATGGTGAGATCTCAGATTTGGCGTAAAGCTGTTGAGGCATGGACCAGGGATATACAAGCGAAGTTTGGGGGACGATCGGACCGTGTCCATTGGAGTTCCAGCGACATCGTGTTTTATGGCGAGGCATATGATGACACCCCATAATTGACGTAGAGCTGTTTAGGGTTGGACCGTTAACCATTATCTGAAGTCTGCTGCTCTGAGCATGTCAGTTGGAGTTATGACATCATCGTGTTCCATGACACAGGTGTTTATAGAGAGTCGAAGTACCGCACTTCTACTTCTGACCCATGGGACCTTATTTCCGAAAAATTATGTATTGAAGTCAATGGGGAGAGAAAGATTATCTTTGGATCCCGTTTGAATTGTGCCATGAATTACACATATGATGTTTGTCAATCTTAACAAATAATTTTGCTCCGCTCACCGGTCCCTCACAGCGGGCACAGCTGCAGGTGCTAATCTCTCTCTCTCACGTCCGGTTATACTTCACTCGCGTTTATGTCCAAATCCATCAGATCTAGCTACTTCTAGCTAATGATATGGCTGCTGCCCCTCCCTACACGCAGACTCAAACCTCATTTTATGCCCAAATTCCAGCTGAGAGGGTCTTCTCTACAGCTGGCCTCAGGGTCGGCGTCATGGGGGGTCATTCGCGGGCCATGCCCCCTCAAATGAGTCACTGTGCCCCCCCCAACGCAGGGTGGGCAAGCCTTGCCACTTTGCCATTTTTTTTTTTTTTATATCATATAAGTGAAAACGTTTCCACTAAAGGTTTTTTGTGTGAAATACATCAGAAATAAATAATACAAATATGAAACACAGCCTGAGGTGTGCTCACTGCTGCTCTCTGATTGGTGTGTTGCTTGACCAATGACCCCCGACCTTGTTTTGTTATCATTACGTGGCTGTGTGTTTAGATGAAAGCCCAGTGGCGATCTGTTCATCTGTTACACTGATTATACAGTAAAACCATCGAAAATAATATGATATACAGTACAGTACAAGTAGCCTACTTCTGAGTATCTGTGTTTCATTCTAGCTCAGCTCTCTGTGTGTGTGGCACGAGCGCATTTTGTGAGTGTGCAAGCGGTAACGTGGAATGTTGTTGTTAGCATCTGGTTAGCTAGCTATGCTAACGGATATAAAGGGCTGTTTCTAAGCCAAGGTGGAGGAGAGTCCTCTCCTGTCAGACTGAGAGGATCTTATAACGTCAGCTCAGTGAGGTAAGGACTCTCTCAGTATTTAGATAGTTAACTTTAGTGTAGGTTAACTCAGTGGGTCTCAAACGGTTTGGTCACCATTTATGTAAACAAGTATTTGCGAGGAATAGGCTACCTTTATATGATCATATAGTTATTAAAGAATAAGAGAATAAATGAAAAACGGGTATGAAATACTATAGGACAGTAACACAAGAATACAGTTTAAAAGGGGAGTGATTAGTAAAATATCCATAAAGAAAAAGTAAATCTGTGTACAGTTCTGTTTCATATGGATGTTGAGAGATGTAGGCTATCCATAGATCTCTTCATTTAGCTCTCAAAGTGCACCAGATTGATGCATTTAACTTATATTTAAACAACAATATTTAAAAAATAATCTTCTCGTGGGAGCATTCCCCCAGACCCTCCTAGATGAGGTTTGGTCCACCACCACCTAAAACATGTTCACATGGATAGGATACTAAATACATTTGCACACTTTTTATATGGTGGCCTATGTTTCTGTTTTGGTGGTCGTGCCACAACCGTGCATGTATGCATAAGTCATAGGTGCGCTATAAAATAGCACTACATCCCTGCAATGTGTGTGAAAAACAATAGACTTTACAGCATGTTTTTTGAAGTTGAAGTTGCGTTGGTGTGTTGGTTGTTGACGGCAGTGTGTGCCCTCCCCCCTTGGTAAATTATTTCCCCCCCATTTGATTTGTTCTAGAGCCGACCCTGGCTGGCCTGATTGTGAATCGCTTCCGCACCCGCCTCTCCCCTGAGCATGTAGACATGCTCATATTCTTATAGAAGAATGAGTATTGAATAGCTGCATTCTGTGCATAGGCCCTGTTATAGATTGTTGATCTCTGTTGTAATAGGGTTACGTTACCAGTGGCGTTTTTATATGTACAAAAGTGGTGGGGCACAAAAAACGTAGATGTTTATAAGCTTCTGCAGTGACGTGCAGTGAAGTTCATGGCTGGTGAGGCACTGGCACTGACTCTTCAGGTTTACAAATATTATATTTTGACCTAAATCAAAATATTATATTTTCAAAAGCTTTTTTAGTCTGATGCTTCGATTAATTTTAAACAGAAAATGTAATTTTATCATTTAAATATTGGATTGTTCTCTAAGATCCCTTTTTCAATAAAATTGCGGTCTTACCTTGAAGATGAAGTCCATTTGCCTATCCTTCTCGACGAAAATCTCTTACTTTTTTGTAAGAGTCCTCCTTATCTTCTTGTAGTTTCAAAAGTCTATCATAAATCTAATCGATAGATTTATGATTGGAAAATTATAAAAGTAGGGTAGACATGTGGATATTATCCGGCTGAACACAACGTGCATTTATCTAACAGGTGCGTTTCCCACAGATCTTATTTCGAGCTATTTTCTAAAATCCTATGGAGGAATCTCATTGCTTTTTTGTCGAGGGAAGCCATGCGCAGCTTACTTCCGGGTTTTAGGATGCGTCACTGCACCTCTCTCGTCTCCTCTTCACACACTACACTTTTCGCGGCACACGTACTTACAGCCAGTCAGCTCTGAATTATGGAGATGACGTATGGCGAGGATGGCAGCTCAGTGCCCCTATGGTCATTATTTTTTTTGCCACACACGTTAAATAGAAAAATACTCGTTTTTACAGTCATCATTCACTTAGACAGTGAGAGGGAGGGGCATGATCGGGTTTTGTCCCACATGGCTCTAAACAGCTCAATAGGCACACACTGTAGACACTAATTAGAAGAACACAGACTAAAACAGCAATGCAATTTGAGTCCCCTCAAACTCCCCTTACATTCATTCAGAGACCAGTTTGCAAACTTAAAGTTTGGTAAGAACCAGGCTCGGGGGTCTCCAGGCAACAAATGTATCCGAGCCAGAGTGCACATGGAGCGGATACATTCCTCCATGAAATCAGACACCCGGTTTTTTTCTGAGTCCTCTCAAAAACCGGGTTTCCGATTTTGTGCAGACAGTAG